TAAAGGCTCTAGGGCATTCTACAATACCGGCCAGACTATGACCCCACTTAATACCATAAACAACTGACTCTATAGGAGATATCCCCGTATTATTAGAAATAGAAACAGCAGTAAGTTCGCTGATAAAGAGAGCAATGTGCAGTGGCTTCGCTGGAATAACTGAAACGCCAATCTTAGAATCTGCCCATTCACGCCATCTGATCCAGCCAGATCTATACTTCTGCACGGTAGAGGGAGCCTTGGACTCAAACTGTAAATGGAGAAGGTCTGGAACAAGCTTGCGCAAGGATGGATCGGCCAGAGAATTCGCTTCACTCCAAATCCCGGATTGGAGAACATCTAAAAAATAAAATAAAAGTAGGCAGGAAAAGGCAAAACATTTAAAATTATAATACAGTAGAAAATATGATGCTGCATCATAATCATGCAGCACGGACAGTACTACAGCGTAAAAACGACATGTAATGAGAAACAACGACAAACGGAAGCCGAACTGGCTGGGCCCAGTAATGCTTTAAAAAACTGTAAAAAATACAACAAAATAGCAAACATTCGATAAAACAAATGTAGACCAATAAAATAAAACATAAAATAAGGCCCACTGACGGCGCCAAAACAGGCAAACTGCGTGGTGAAGCGGACATCGAACTCCGAGCCAAGAAGACGCTGCCAAATCAGGCAAAAAATACACCGCCAAATCAGGCAAAAATACGCTGCCAAAACAGGCAAAACAAAGCTGCCAAATCAGGCAAAAATACACTGCCAAAGCAGACACGATAACGGTGCCAAATCAGGCAAATAAATAATACCAAAACGAAGCTAACAAAAGATAAACCTAAAACACCGACAATAATGAGCTGTAAGGGGAGACAAAAATGGGAAAGCTCACCTAAAATCTATCCGCAAAGCTAACATTTTAAATTTCGGGCAGCCGCTGAACACCGACGGACGCGCTTTGTAAATCTGCTTCTGTCCTGGACCCTCCAGCAAGAGGTCTTCAATACAAGGAAGCTCAAACACTTCTTTAACAAAAAACTTGAACTGGGAGGCGTTGTCGTGCAAAAAAGGCCAAAAATAGGCCGAAGGCCATTGTGGAACGATCAAAGTGCCGTAACCGGAGCAGGACGAGAGAGCCCTAACTGAAGGCACAATGGCACCCACCGGAGGGCAAACCCAGTTATTCTCATGTCGCCAATCCTGAGCCAAGGCGTCCACACCGCTGCAACCTGGGGAAGCAAATTTAGAGTTGAACCTCGGAAGCTGGGCATTGTAATAGGACGAAAAGCGATCAATTGTGTGAGGGCCCCATTTAGCGTCGACAAGTCGAAATACCGAGGGATTGATGGACCAGTCGTCTTTATCAATAAATCTGCTAAGAAGATCTGCTCTTTCATTAAGAGACCTAGGGATCCACTGGGCTTCGAGAACGATGCTGTTGGCAAGACAAAGATTGAAAATATCCATAGCCAGGGCCTGGAGGTGAGATTTGGAGCTTCCGATAGCAACTATTCTGGCGGCGGCCTGATTATCAGTGAAGATTTTAACTCTCTTGTGTTTCAGTTGAGCCACGTAAGAAAGCAACACGTAAAAAATTGCTTTCAGCTCGCGAAACGTAGAGCTTTGGCCGATATCCTCGCTCTCCCACATGCCGCTAACGACGGAGCCGTCTAAAGTAGCCGAAAATCCTCCGAACGCTACGTCGCTAGCATCGGAAAATACAACGGTATGCGTAGCTAACGGTGGCCTAATAGAATAGCCGTTTAAGCAGTCGATGTTGCAATACCAAAATTTCAGTTCTTGTAAAAGGCTCGGAGGAAAATGAATTATGTCATCCCAAGCCGATCTGGTTTCAATGGCGAAGTACATTTGTCTGGTCAAAAGACGAGAAATTGGACCAACAGCTAACGCAGCTGAAATGATAGTGCCTGCTATTCTCGCTAACTCGCGAAATGAAGAGAATCCATCCTGAATCGCAGAATCTAGCAAGCCTTTAAGCTTGAGAACTTTCTTCTCGGGAATCCGGAAACACATTAAAATAGTATCAATAACGAAGCCTAGCCATTCGCCAATTTGAACTGGATCCCAGTGAGACTTTTCCTCGTTACAAAGAAGACCAGATGAAGAGAGCTCTTTACGTTGAATTAAGCTAGCTGCCACGGCAGAACATTTGTCTGGTCGACTCCCGAAACCATCGTCCAAATAAATGAAACTGTTGTGTCCCATAGAACGCCAACGCCTAACTAACGGGCGCATTAACTTGGTAAAACAAAAGCAAGCGCTACTTAACCCGAAAGGCAGTACTGTAAAGGAAAAATATCTGACGACGCCAGAAAAAGGCCACGCGAAACCAAGGTACTTTTGGTGGTCGAGACAAATATCGACATGGTGGTAACCGGACTTAAGGTCCCAAGAGAAAAACCAGTGTCCTTCATCGAGAACTTGAGAAAGCGATCGTAAGTCCTCGTACTTGAATATAGGTTTTACTAAATAATTGTTTACGTGTCTCAGATCGATAACCAGGCGAAGCTTCTTCCCAACAGCGACTGTCAAAGGATTAACACAATACGGGGGGAATTCGTGCTCAACAATGCAGCCGTTACTTAAAAGCTCGCTAATAGCATCAGCGACAAATTCCGGATGCTGAAGAGCTGATCTATTGTTCTTCAAAAAGCACTGCGAGGGGTACTCGGCAAACGGCAATCTGTAACCGCGCCTAATCATATCAAGGACAAAATCTGGTGCATCTAAAGTCTCGACCCAAAAGTTAAACGAAGATTGCAAGCGACCTTTCACGCCACTGCTTCCGCCTTTCGCACTAAACTCGTCGCCACAACAAGACAATAAATGAATTAAATCACACTCAACTTCATCACAGGTCGACGAGTCGCCATCTAGTCAATCGCGTCGAGAGCTACTCTTCGAAGAATCCGCAGGCTTCAAGCACGTGGAACTCAAATGACCAAAATCCCCGCACTGAAAAAAGGGGAACACATACAGAAAAACATGAAAATAAAATCCATAACATAAAAATAAAAGAACAGTGTTGTAGCGTGTGGCGTTGCAGACCCGAAGGAAGAACATACTGACTGACAACAACTTATATATGAAACGCAATTAACACGTATTACGTAACTACTGAACACTTCATTGAAAAACACAATGAAAATACCAAATTCAGAACGTGCAGAAAACAAATATCTGCTAAACTTCGTACCGCAGATATTTTGATATTCTGCACTAACCTATATAAATATAAACACAAATGCAGCAAATCACTGAGAATATTGGATTATGGCCTGTGCGGTAACGCCATAATCGACGAAGAAAGAAACAAAGATAGTAAAGCGAAAAAGTGCTGGGTACTTATCTTAAAACAGGGGCCCAAACGACGAGCTGGTCTAGCCTCCGGGCGTGAAACCAAATCGCTGGATGCGTATCTTGACGAAGTCGCCCGAGATGTAGAGGCGGAGCCACTGCCTTTGTCGCCAGAACGGGCACGACGACGTTTTTCCTTAGTGACCTTTCTCTCAGCTCTCCTCTCGGCCCGGTAAATTCTCTTCTCATCATCTGAGTCAGAGGCGAGTTCGTCGGATAGATACTCATTGACCGTCGCCCATCCAAACTCGCTCTTGTCGGCTAGCTTTATTGCTTTAACACGCTTGGACACTAATTCCGTACCTGACTCCAAAGCAGCCTTAGCTTTTTCATAAGATTTGTGCTTAAGTGCGTCGGAAGCTTCGTCTAGCTTGTCCAGCACCTGGAGGGAATGGTCTAACTGCTGCTGGTTACCCTTTCTCTTGCACGTGTATTGCTCGCGACGCGCCTTCTTAACAGCTTGCTCAACGGACGAACTGTTTTCCTCTGAAAAACGCTTGGCAAAATCGGTAAGCCGAGATTCAATGACCTGTGTAAGGTTGTCGGTTAAAGAACCTATAGAACGAGTAACGGCAGCCTGTATAGCAGCGCCAATAGAAGGATCTACGACTTCAGGGTTCGGACGAGAACGAACATTGCTGACCTCCGCGTCACTCATGTTAAACAGAACAGTGTTGTAGCGTGTGGCGTTGCAGACCCGAAGGAAGAACACACTGACTGACAACAACTTATATATGAAACGCAATTAACACGTATTACGTAACTACTGAACACTTCATTGAAAAACACAATGAAAATACCAAATTCAGAACGTGCAGAAAACAAATATCTGCTAAACTTCGTACCGCAGATATTTTGACATTTCAACAACTGTTGTTTTTAAAACCTTAAAAGGATTAACAAATTCAAATGAGAAAGCAAAAACGAAATGAATTCTGGTACAGTGAAGTCAAATGATAGGATGACTGCTGTTAAATTAAAATAGAAAAATTATGAGAGAACTGTGAATGAGCAACGGCTCCATGTGGTCGGCTCCAGAGCCGCTTTAATAGTGTAGATTTATATCAGTTTTGCTTATCACAGAAACTGCGCCTGCCTTGGGCATTTTGTAAGAAAGAATACACCAATAACTGCTTTTAACAGGGCATTAAGTGGTTAAGTGGCTCTTGAAAAGTAGTATATGGTCACTGTGGAAAACCTCACACCTCAGGGCACTTAGCGTGCTGGGAACTTAGGGTGGATTCATTCACTCATTAATGCCTCATATTCGTACTAAAAGTACGCCATCGGATTTGCCCTCTGTTTTTTTCTTGTTTTAAGCTCAAGAACAATAAAAAATTCAAGCTAGCAAATTCGACTGCTCTCAAGATAATGGTGTAAATGATTCCACCTTTTGTCGTGCTGGTTTTTGTTATTATTTTTGGTCAAGCAAAGCTGACATTGATAATTAAACGATAATTTATGCATTGAAAAATGATCGACTCTAATAATCAAAAGAAAAAAATAAGATAATTCATCTGGTGCTTCAATGTATCATCACATGTCATCATCAGACAGCTCAAGAGCCTGAGGGAACAGCTGTATTTGATACACTACTTTCTTAAGTTGCGGCAGACCATGAAAACATGTCATTTAAAAGAAGATCCCGCAACACGTCTGTATCCTCTAAGATGCTGGACTTTCCTTCCCAAACTCAGGGAATAGCGTTGGTCATCGCCTTCATGGTTGAAAGCGGTCTAATATTCGGAGGAAACAAGCTGGCAATAATTCTCTTTTTACAAGAGAAGAAGCTTCGCAAGAAAAGTTTGTTCTCAGTTATGAACATGGCCCTCGCTGATGTGATGTTAGGAGATGTATCTTTGCCTTTGTATGTTTATTTGATTGTAGGGCCCGACTATCAGCTGTGGACTGCAAAGGCGACACATAAGTCTATTTTTACTTTCTTGACACCACCTTTTCACAGTCCTCGCTAATTTCAGCAGGTTTTATATCCTGTGAAAGATTTTATGCCGTCTATTGGCCACTTAAACACAAAACACTGTCAATGCGAATATATGGTATTGTTATTTTTACGGTCTGGTCACTGGCTATTCTTGTTTCAGTAATAGCCGTTCTCTTTTATGGGTACAAGTCATTTAAAGTGGCTAGCTTGTCTTGGATGTCAATTCCCTTGAGTTTTCTATTCATCGTTTGTACATGTAACATCAGTATATGGAGAAAAGTTCGAATAAGAAACATTACTTTACAACGGCAAAACCGAGCAGCATCCCAAAACCAACGCTTGACAAATGCCTTGCTGTTTGTATCCGCCATTTCTGTGCTTTCTTGGCTTCCTTTTGTCATTGTTAACTATCTGGTGTTTGTCCAGGGAGTCGATATCCCTCGACGATTTTTGTTTGTAGATATCATAAATATTCTTAGTCTTTCCAACTCCATTCTAAATCCGTTTGTCTATGCGTTAAGAATCCCTGAGTTTAGGCAAGCACTGCGGGTTTCGTGTTGTTCACGACGTCAAGATGCAATGAGTAGGCCGGGAATAGTAGGAAGAGAAAATATGGCTGCCGTTTTAACGCCCGTGTTACAACGAAGAGCAATACAATGCAATTCCAGTCAAGTTCACCAGATCTACGAAAAAGAGGTTATGAACCTGGCACTAACTTGTGAACAAAGATCCTGTCTAACGCGTAACTGATGAACTCTAAATGCACCACTGAGAAAAAAATGAAAGACACTACAATGGATTAAAGGACGTGTTTCTAGTGGAATTAGAAAATTACCAAGTCCTTAAAAAAACATATTTTTTTCTAAGGTGATTGTTATTTTGAAACCGTTTTTGAATATAGATATAAAAATTATATAAACAATAGAACTTTATTGGCTTTTGAATCATTACCGATCAGTACGTTAATTTTTGATGTTTGCTATATTTCCGTAACATCTGATCGAGCCCCTGGAAATTGTCGTTTCACCGCTACCAATGCGGTATTGGATAATATTTTGGCTGAGGTAAAGGAACGGCAAATCACTGCGACGGCATGCAATTTTAAAAAAAGAATGACAAGGTTTTTTTGAAAAAGTGGGGTACGTACTACAATGTGTGACAATGTTAGCTCAAAGTGCTACCAAGAATTTACAAAGTGTGAAGGTACAGGGTCTGCAAAATTAATGAAACACCTTTTTATGCCTGATAGAATTCGGTTACCTTTGGCTTGTTGCTATCAGTTGCGTTGGGCAATAACAGCACTAAGTGGTGAACATTAATTTTTTTCAATAATCCGTTATTACTCGGCCATCAGCGATTTCGTTCATAGCTAACAGTAGACTGCGAGAAGTCTCTCTTTTTCTTCAGATTTAGTACTGGGGAGTGCACGCGCGCGCGAGCGTTTAGCGGCGAAGTCGCTTCGTGCCTCTCCCGTCTCGCGCCTTCAGTCACGCGCGTGGTCATTTGCGTGTCTCGGGCGTTTTGCTCGACGGACCAAGAAAAAATAGAGACTGCTCGTAGTCTAAGATAACAGGTATTCAGAATCAATACTATTGGGGCTTAAATTAGTTGTTATAGGGTAAAATTTGTATTAGCTTTGACTTGAATAATTTGTAGCAGAAACTGAAATCTGAAATTACAAAAGTTATAACGACACTTCAGTTTTCGAATAAGGCTTAAACACAAGCTAATTTAACAACAATTTTATCATGATCGTACAAAAACCTGGTGGTAGAATTCCGAGTAAAGAAAAGTCATCATGCAGAATACTACTTTAATTTTGTCGTTTAATATATTCTGCGCGGTTAATGTATGACAATATTGTCCCATATGGCGCCCGATAATATGTTTACCCTAGGAAACTGTATCCAGCCACCTTGCTATGGATGTCAGCTGCGCAACTTCATTGTTTTCATGAAAATGATGGAGAGCGCAATTCCATTTCCAATAGATCAGAAAACCCTAACGAAGTTATAAGCGCTGTCATCATTTACAGCAGAAAACTAATTAAAAACACCTTAGCCATCTCCTGGAAGCTACTAGGTGTCAAACCATGGCATTAAGTTACTTATGCAAATTAACCGCATAACAGGTGTTGAGCGAATCCGTCATGCGAGACCAGACGATGCGATGCGAGACAAACAACTCTATTTCGCACACTACATTCCATCCAGCTGCGGCAGAAGATGGAAAACAACTCGTTTATCACAAGCTACAACAAAACGTCTACATCCTCTACGATCAAAGACTTTCCTTCCCAAGCACAAGAAGGAGTATCATTGGTCAGCGCTTTTATTTTTGAAAGTGTTATGATTGTTGGAGGAAACCTGCTGACAATAATTCTCTTCGTACGGGAGAAGAAGCTTCGCAAGAAAAGTTTGTTCTTAGTTATGAACATGGCCCTCGCTGATGTGATGTTGGGAGCGGTGTCTCTGCCTTTGTTTGTTTATTTGTTGGTAGGACCCTACTATCACTTATGGGCTGTAAGCAAGTCTACATTTACTTTCTACTTTTTTCATTTTCTTGATGTCACTTTTTCACAGTCCTCGCTGATTTCGGCAGTTTTTATATCCTGTGAAAGATTTTATGCCGTCTATTGGCCACTTAAACACAAAACATTGTCAAAACGAGCGTATGGATTTGTTATTTTTATGGTCTGGTCTCTGGCTATCGTTATTTCAATTGCCTTTCACTTTTCTTTCTACCCAGAGTCATATAAAGCAGCTATTTTGTCTTGGATGATATTTCTCTTGAGTTTTCTGTTCATCGTTTGTGCTTGTAACATCAGTATATGGAGAAAAGTTCGAAAGAGAAATATCGCTTTACTACAGCAAAACCGACCAGCATCCCAAAACCAACGCTTGACAAAAACCTTGCTGTTTGTATCCGCCATTTCTGTTCTTTCCTGGCTTCCTTTAGTCATTGTTAACTATCTGACCATTTTCCGGCGGGTCGATATCCCAAACGTGTTTGAAGACAGCATAAATATCCTTAATTTTTCCAATTCCATTTTAAATCCATTCATTTATGCGTTAAGAATCCCTCAGTTTAGGCAAACATTGGTTTTGTGTTGTTCAAGACGTCAGGCCGTAATGAATGGGCAGGGTAAAGAAGAAAAAGCAAATATCGCTGCCTTTTTAAAGCCTGCGTTGCAGCTCAGATCATCACATCCCGAATCCAGTCAAGTGCAGCAGACCTCAGACAGACAAAAGGTCATGGATACCAAGCTATGATCAAACTGCCCGTTTTATATATACAGTACTGATATATATTGTAAATACACTGCTAGCAAATGGATGAAAGAATATTCATAAGAACAAGTGTTTAGTAAACAGCAAGTCGTTAAAAACATTTTTTTCAGCACCGAGTGTGATTTCAAGCTGTATTTATTAACAATAAGAAAAGAATGAGCAGTAAATTCTTTATTTGGCGTTTAAAAATGGATACGAGTATCTTTTCTTTGGTCATCATGCGGTTTTTAGTCGTTCACGATCATACACTTCGGTGACGTGTGAAATACGCCCGCAAGGGCGAAGCAGGTAGTGTGCGCACTACGATTGCGATGCATTGTGGATGCAAAATTTTCAAGATGGCGGCGAAGGTCGAGAAATTTCGCAGGTTATATGCTTTGTTTTTCAATAGATATAGTTCTTTCCTTAGATCGTTTTTCTCAATTTCATAAGCTAATATTTGTTTAGATTTTTTCTGTGAAAAAAAAACAACTCTTTATTCTTCATTTCAATCTAAAACTGAGGCACGAAGATTCCTCCTGTAAGAGCATGAAATTTGAACCCGGTTTTTAAGAAGCTATAATTTCCATTGTATTGGCCGTCGAAAGAAGAAGATAGTTTTCAGTGTTTCTACAAACCTTATTTTACGCTAATTTTTTATCGCTCCCCAACGCGCCCCACGTTTGGTGATAGCAGAGCTCCGACGTGCGAAGCGCGCCAGCGGAGCACCATGGGTAATAAAATTTGGTAAACCATACATCCGAGAAAATTTGGTTTTGACGTAGCGTACGCCCGTACACTCTTTGCGGGGGAGGGAAGGGAATCAGGTGTCAGCCCGTCCGGGGGAGGAGTATGTTATAAATCGCGCGATGCATTTGTGCAACCCACCTGTTTCTTGGCGGGAAATCGCGCAAGAAATGACGTGGCTGTCGTCGCGTTCAAAAACATGTTTACTTCAACGGAACTACTTCATTGCATAAGGATTTTGTGTCCGGAGAGCTCAGTTTCTAGTAAACTGTTTCGAAGAAATTGTTATGGCAACAAACAATAGCGGATCGGATTCAAACTATTTGCTTGTAAGTGAAAAGCGACGGGAAAGAGAAGAAGAGAAAGGCATAGAGTAAGAATTAACAGGCGCGCTAGCGAAGAGGATTCAAGCGGAAAATTTATGTAGCATCTGCGACTTGTTCAGTGATAGCTGAAGCTGACAGAGTTTTGAGTCATCTTTTGATGTTTTTACCTGTCTTTTTGCACTGGATCTACAAAATGAAATACAGCAGCTATCAACATTCTTTTGTTATTCTTGGTTGGCTTGTTTACTGGGTTGTGGTTGAGAAATGCGCCGCACGACAAAAAGAAATCGGGAATCATCGTTTTCAAAAATAAGCTACCCTTAGTAAGCTTACTTCGCCTTGCTGGACCATGCGAAAAATCTTAAGCGATTCTGGCCTTACTTGACTGGTTTCCGTGCTGCATCTCGACCGTTAAGCTTGAGTAATTTTATTACATTTTATGTGTTTTCTTTTTTCATGTTTATGCCGTCATTTTACGCACATTTGTAAGGTTTGAATCAATTTATCTGACCTAGTAAAGAACTTAAAAAGTCTTTAGACATTTTCTGACCGCGACTAGAAGAAAAAGTTCTGAAAAACAGTTTAGTTATCCTATTGTTTGTAAAAAGAAAACTTTGAGCGATATTCTTGCCTGGAGTTCATCTTGCAAAATAGCAAACACGGCGAAGGCGGCTTAAAACTTAGAGCTTAATTTAAATCTATTCGTGACTAAACTTTACTCTCAAAACACGTCTTCGGGAATAAAAATTGTTGACCTTTAAATGTTTCTTCCTATTATATTTCTTGTCTTGATTGTTTGTCAAGATCTCGTTCTTACATGATCGCTTTTAGTAGAGCAGATATGTGCTTCGATTGTTCACTTTCTGTTAAAAGCATGAAATTTGGCATGATGATAGTTTTCAAGGCCCTAAAAAAGATAGGATATGGTGCCATCGCCAAAAAGTCCGTTAAGTGCGAAAAATAAGAGTTTTAAAATGGCGGCCATTTTGAACCTGAAGTGAAATTAACATTTTCTTTAAAACGTCTGAATTTTGGCAACTTGGATTAGAAAATGTCAGAAAATGCCTAAGGCAGCTGTTTTTTTCATACAAAGAGATATTATTTCAACGCAAATTGTCTAAAAAAACAGAATAGAGATGATATAAGTGGCCGCCAGCTAGACCGGAAGTAAAACTACCAGAGTCGGAACTTTTTAAGGAATGTTGTGCCGGCTACTTTTCTTTACTTTAATATTTTCTTTAAATCTAATGTATACACTCAATTTACTATTTTCATCACGTATAATCCATTACTGAACTTGAGCCTACTTTGGCTATGATACCGAATATCGAAGAAGAATAGGTAATATCTCGGTGACCTAATGACTTGATACTTCATGCAGACGAGTGCTTGTAATGGAAAAAAGAGT